ATATATATATATATATATATATATATATATATACATTTTTTTCCCCTGCTGTTTCTGTTCTTCTAGAGAACAGAAGGTGACTGTCTGTCAGCCTCGAGGGTAGGGAGGGAGTCCAGGCTTGAGCACTGCATCCTGCAATCACCTGCACCTTCCCCAGGCGTCCACAGCTGGCGCACAGGGTGGGGCACAGCGGGGCCCCAAACACCCAGCTGTGCAGCAGCCCGTGCCTGCACCCCTGCCTCCTGCAGTCCCACCGCCAGGAGCTCCCCAGTGGGGACCCATCCTTGTCCCCTCTAGGAAACTCAGCTGTCACCAGGGACACAAATCATGCCTGCCCTGCCATACAAGCTCATGTGCCATGTGACTCAGGGCAAGTACATGGGCCACTCTAAAGCACCCCTATCTGTAAACAGAGGCAAGAACCCTCTCCTAAAGGGGTAGCTATGGGATGAGGGTGAACGTACCTAGGGATATTGGTCCCCAGGGCTGCTGTGACAAAGGACTACAAACTCGGTGGCTTAGCAGAACACACATTTATTATCGTCCAGTCCAGAGGTCAGAATGACAGGGGTCTCTGTGGGGCAAAGTCAAGGGGGGCAGGGCCGAGCTTTCTGGGGCTCTCAGGAGAATCTGTTCCTGGCCTTCCCCAGCTCCTAGGGGACCCGGGTTCCCCTGACCCCGTCTTCAGTCAGCAATGGCCATGGCGGCCCCATGTTACACCCCAGTCCTCTCCCTGCTGTGACATCTCCCTCCAAACACAGGTGGGACTTGTGGGGTCAGATGGGGCTGTGCCTGGGGAATCTAGGAGATGCACCAGTCCCAAAGTGCACTTCCCCAAACACATCTGCATAATCTGGGTCGGAGCTCCATCGGCACTGGCTGAAGCTGGATTTGGGGGGCCAGGACCACAGTGTCTGTCACAGTCCCAAGCTCCCACCGTGTGTGGGCACTGTCACCGTGGTGGTTTGAAGACTGACTCCCCCTCCCACTTCCTAGTTCTTTGAATTTAGGCCTAAATATTACTTCATCCCTCTTAACCTCAGTTTCTCCACCTATAAATTGAGGGGGGGGTCACAATAGGACTTCCCCCTTCCCCTGCCAAGAGGATCTTGCGACACCTAAACAAGAGGACACCTTCCCTGCATGTGTCATGTCAACAGCACAGCAGAACCGGGTCCCATTCGTCACCGGGCAGCGCAGAGGAGTCTTGTGCTGTTTGCACCTCTGGGTCAGAGGTAAGCAGGGGGCCAGAGGTTAGAGCCAGGAAGCACCTTCTCCCTCAAGCCATCCTGGGGACTGGACCGGAGTGTGGATGTCTCGGGTGCAAGAGGCGAGGCCCAGGGACCCTGGGCTGACAGCCCTTCCCCACTTGCTCCTGTCCACCAGTAGGCAGCACAGCTGAGGCTGGGCCTCTCTGGCTTCCTAAATCAGCCCAGTGCCCTGGCTTCTCTCCACCAGGTGGGGGGGCCTCAAGACCCTGAGGCCAGGAGGCAGCAAAGCCCCATGGGAACCAGGTGGCCCTGCAGAGCCGCATGTGACCCATGCCCCATGACAGGCTCTGCGCTCCCTGGGGTCGGCCTCGTGAAACAGCATTCTGGGCCTCCAGTTAGATGTAACATTTGTTATTTTATTGGAAAAAAGCTGGTATTAACATATTTATAATTTTATTCAACAGTTGGATAATCCATTGAAACACCCGAGAAAAAAAGAATGCACCTAGTGTTACAGAATCCAAAGCGCGGACCTACTTCACCCTCTTCCCTTCCCCCCAGGGCTCTGCCCTCAGAGAGCCGCCCAAGGGGAAGAAATAACCAAAACCCAGCACAGCACGACCACGGTGCGAATGCCCCACACCCAAGCGGAGCAGGGGCGGACGCAGAAGCGGCGACCCAGACCCCGCAGCCCCGCCCGCCTGGCTCTCCACCCCCCCGCCACGTTTCCTTGCCCACATTTCATTATCCACACGGTTATCTTCCAGGCACCCAAAGACACACTTTGCTTCTGAGCCCTCTGTCTACCCAACCCGCTTTGTGGTTTGGTACCCAAAGTTTCAAACAGATGTCAGGAAGTAGGAACTGTGTTAAGACTCCCTCCAAAGGCTGTGTAAAATCGGGACTTTGAAGATGGTGAATGTTAAACCTATGATTTGATGGAACTTCTCGCTTCAAACTCGTTTCCTCTTGGACATCGGAATCACAAAGGGAGACGCTGGCACCGAAGACCCCGGCAAGTGTGTAGGGCCCTCAGAGCTGGATTTTGGCTTCAGCAAGATTTCTGTACAATTTACCACATCCTCAGGGGATAAAGTCGTCCGATCTTGTGATTGTTAAGTTTAATTAGGTAGATATGTACATATAATACTGTCCAGGTCGCCTGGATTTTACAGCGCTATTATAAACAGACATTCTTCATTCATGTTGATTAAAAAGAAAAACTCAATGGACCCACTGGTGTGTAAGTAAAATATGGCCAGGAGTGAGTGCACATGCGTTTTGTGCTTTTACACACACACAAGTCCAAGGGTGCCCCCGAGGACACCCTCAGGCGGGCCCGTTTCCTGGTGATGTCTGCAGTGCACGCAGTGAAGACAGGACCCTGGCTCGGCCCAGCCCTGCCTGCACTCTGCTCTCGGAGCCCAGGCCCAAACCGCCTGATTCTGCTGCCGTCTCCTGGGCCAGATGAAACTGGGTAGAGTCCAGCGTCTCCAAGCAGGACTCACTGCGGAGACCACATTCTCTGCAGCCATGTGTTGGTTTGTGGGGAGGGTCCCCCAAATGAGTGTGTGGTCCTCAAAGAAAACATCCTAAAATGGTCACGACATGCATTTCCTCTTGGAGGCAGTTCAGCATGGCTGGAGAAGGAGTGGAGGCGCCCCTGGGTGACAGTTCTCGGGAGGGGACATCCTGACATCACCAAACACGGCGAGCTTCTCCATCCGCCCTCAGTGTCATCCCTTGTCGTTGAGATGCGAGTGAGGAGACGGCACCCCTCAGCACTGGGCTGTGAGCCACTGGCGCCTTAGCGGAGCAGGGACAGCACCCCCGATGGCGACAGTCCATGGTGCCTGCCTTGGGCGGCTGTGTCTACCCAGAGCTTGGTTTCCTCTCAGGCATGACGGGGACAATCATTCTTCACCCTCCATGCTGGTTCCCACTACAGCGCTGGCACCCAGGGACAGCCGGTGTGTAGGGGACGGGAACAGACACCCATGTGATGGCCGCGGGCAGGAGCCAGCATCCCTGGGGGAGGACCGTGCAGCTGCCGTGGACCGGGCTGCAGGAATCCAACGGATGCACCTCAGGCTGAGCACCCTGGCCAGGTGCCACAGCCGCTCAGCAAAGGCCGGCAATGAGGCGGGAGGACCAGCACTCGAGGAGGGCCCTACCGTGGGACAACTACAGATCAGTGCAAATTCCCCATCCAGAAAGCCGGGGCGGGACCAGCCCCCAGGCAGCGCAAGCTACCCACTCACTGACGTCCAAGCCCTCCGCTGGCCCCGGTGACCCTCTGCCTCTGTCCCTGGAGCCCCCAGCTCCAGCTCCCTCTGAAAAGACTGGCTGGATGGACAATTAATAGTGTGCGGAAGACCGCAGCCCGAGACCGGGAGCAGAGTGGATGGAAAGAAGCCCGGACTCTGACGGCTCGGTGACCATGGCCGTGTGAGGCCTTGTGCCGTGGACCTCTTCCTTCTTTACACAGATCCTGGCCGGCCAGGGCCACGGGGGCTGGCAGTGTGGGAGCAGGCCCAGGCGCCCTCCGCCCCACGACGGCCCCTCCCGTGCCGCAGGTGTGAAGGGCCCCTAGTGCATGTCGGAGTTGACCTTGTCCTGGAAGATGTAGAGGTTGTTGGTGGCAGCGATGGCGATGATGTTCTCCGCCGGGTGCCAGGCCGTGTGCAGGATCTTCTTGGCGAAGTCCAAGCTGTCCACGCTGATGTCGTCACGCCGCCGCTTGCCACCGATGCACACGCGCCGGGGCTTGAGCACGGCCCTCGGCTTGCTGCTCTCGCGCGACGCCTCCAGGGTCACATCCCGCTTGCTGTTGCGGTCGAACATGCGGAAGAAATTGTTGTAGGCCCCAGTCATGATGACACTGGTGGGAGAGGGACAGTGTCAGCCAGGGGACAGACAGGGACGGGGCTGGGAAGCCCAGGTCACAGCTGCCACTGCCACTCAGACTTCGGGACCACACGGCCAGGACCCTTTCAGGCTCTGCCCAAACACAGACGCAAAGCCCTCCGTCACCCTCCCTTGGTGCAGGAACTGACCCTGGCTTCTCCACCCGAGGAAACAGTGCTGCAGATGCCCGGGAGTGACCTCCCCAGGGGCCAGGGCAGGGGTCTGAGGGCCCCAGGCCGGGTCCCCAAGCAGTCACCTGAAAGGAAGAACACTCGTGGCCCTGGGTCCAGTCTTCCCAGACCCGACAGACTGCCCACTCCTAGCCACCTCTCCTCCTAACCAGGCACTTCCGCCTGGTGACAGAAAGAGTAAGCGGCCCCGGGCCGAGGACAGTGCAGAGAGGGGCTCCTGCGGCCTCGGGTTCCCGGGGCACTGTGAGGACGGGGTCCTGAGGGCAAAAGGGTCCTGTCTCGATCCTTGGGGAGGCACCTCCCCATCAGGCCTCTGCTCAAGGAGCTGAGCTCTGCTCTAGGGTGAGCCTGCGCAGGACGGAAGAGAGGGGAGGGAAGAAAGCGAGGGACACATGCCAGGGCCACCCACGCACACACGCACACGAGCCTGGGCCACACGGTGGCCGCCACCACCGCAGAGGTTCTAGCAGGGTGGGGAACGCCTGGCCCGGCCACCCTGAGCGGAGAACAGGCCAGGAGACGAAGCCCCAGAGGGCCTGGGGAACAGGTCCAACAGCCCGACCTCCCCGCGGTGGGGAGGAGTTCCGACGTGTGTTTGGGCTCCACTTTTCTGTCCTGAAATTCACCCCGAAACCGTAGTGCACGTGAAGAGCCCGTGTGCTGCCGAGACCATGAGTCGGAGGTCACCCTGGAGAGCCGGCTGGGGGCACCAGCGGGCGGGACAGCCCCCACCCCACACTGTTCCCTCCTGCACCCGCCTCCCGGGGCCTGCTCCCTACTCCTGTCACCTCGGTGGGGTGATGACCCAGAGACCCCACGACCACGTGCCCACCCAGCGCAGGAGCAGCCGAGGCAGCGAAAACCCGCAGGCCAGGGAGGACTGGGGGCGAGCCCGTCTGGGTGTCCCAGGCCCACCTGAGAGCTGCTGGGTGCCCAGACACTGCCCTGAGGCCCAGGACACTGGAACTGCAGTCCACAGACCACGGCCATGGCCCTGGCCAGGCAGAGGCCCAAGGCCCTCATCAGGGCTCAGGAGGGAGACCAGGCGGAGAAAGGGAGGGGAGGGCAACGACCCCCAGAGGGTGAGACAGGCAGTCTGTGGGGCAGTCACACTACAGCAGGCACCCTGTGCACATGGACCCACGAGATCACCCGTGAGGGCCACACTGGGGAGAGCTGAGGCCAGTGAAATCGGGGCTTCCTGGGCAAGACAGGGCCCTGCGTCCGTCCCAAAGTGTTCCCGCCGGGCAGGTGCAGCTGGGGCTGCAGAAGGGGCTTGCTGGGATTTCCTCGGGCAAGGGGGAGTGGACATTCGGGAACGGTCATGGTCAGACACCTGACCCTACTCGGGATCCCCTGCTCCTGTGGCCTCTTCAAGGTGGGCAGCCTAGGGCAAGGCGTGACCCACAACCCCTCCTCCCACAGAGCCGAGACATGGAGCTGGGCCTGGAGGGTGGCAGGATGCTGGGGCAGGTGACAGGGAGGCTGCAGGCCTGCCAGCATCCACTGCCATCGGGGACCTGTGACCAGCAGGAGAGGACAACTTCCCTGGAGAGGCTTCCCGGGTGGGCAGACTGAGGGGCTCACTCAGGCACGGGGTGCAGCATTGCCTGGTCATGCGCGCCCCCTGGTGGCAACACGAGGAAGGATGGGCAAGGGTGGCAGCCACAGGGACCTGCCCCTCAGAATAGTCACAGTGGAGCCCCAAACATGCAGGGCTCCAACTTGAGAGATTCCAAGGGTCCCTGGTCCCGGGTGTGCACACAGCCTGTGGGCAGGAGAGGGTCCCCAAGGGCCACTCAGCCTCAGGCCGGGCTCTGTCCTGGGCGCCTAAGCATCCTCTGGTGGATCCAGCCCCTCTGTGGGGGCCCGGCTCTGCCTGGAGACCCCTCCTGGTCCTGTCCCTGTCCCTCCTCAGCTCCTCCTGCAGGCCCAGCCATGGCCCCAGGCCCCAGGCCCCAGGGGTCCAGGCACGGCAGCCCCTCCAGGGCCACAGCCGCACTGTCCACTGCCGGCCTCAGCAGTTCTGACCCGCAAGCCAGGACAGGCTTCATCCCTGCTCCCTGTCACCATGAGAGCCTCTCCTGGACACAAGTGTCCGACAGAAGCCAGCACTGAGGAGCCACCTCTCGGCTCTGCGGATCGGGGAAGTGGAGTCCGAGCCCTGCAGCTGGAGCAGAAGCTCGGTGTCCTGGAGGATCATGTGGATGGAGGAGGAGGACTTTCCTGCCCGGGGTCAGAGAGAATCTCTGGGCCCTGGGACACGTGGAGTAGAGGACCCTCGGGGAGTGGTGAGGACCCTGCTAGGAGCCACCCGGGCTGTGGCCACATGGAGCTCACGTCAGGCACAGGGTCTCAGGAGTGGGGCTGGAAGGGCGGATGGCCCTCTCAGGGCATGTGGTGTGGGCCAGGGCCAGGGACAAGTGTGAACCGCTCGCTTCCTGGAGGAGCCTGAGGTGCTGGGGTACAGCCCTCAGCCCTGAGGACTCGGGGGAACAGGCTTGCTTAGCCGGGGGCCTGGGCTGCCTACATACATCCCCTGGACAGGGGCTCGGAGAGGCCGTCGGGATCAGGCAGCGGAGGTGAAAGGTGCATTTCTGGCCCTGGAATTAGTGCTGGGAGGGCCTCACCTGTCGCTGCCGTTCCAGGCGCACTCGAACTTGTCGAAGATGCAGTCATTCTCGTAGAGCGAGCAGAGCTTGCTGCGAAGGTAATCATGCACCTGCGGGGAGCAGAGGGTGAGCGGTGGGCGCCGTCCACGCGTGGGGGAACCCAAGGCCTACCTAGCCAAGGGCGGCACCCGAGAAGGAGCTGCAGGGCCAGTCACCATCCCTGGACCGCCCCACCCGGACCACTCGTGAGGAGAAAAGCAGCCCAAGCCAGCCACACACGGGCCTGCACACGCAGCTTCCAGCAGACGCTAAAGTCTCCCCCAAAGGCAAGTTGCTGGGCTGCTGTTGTTTCTGCTTTAGAATCAGTGCACCTGCAGGCCAACACCCAGGCGCCCAGCTTCGGACCCCACCCGACCCAGAGCCTCAATTCTCTTGCTTTATGAGGTCCCCATGACCCTGGGACCCTTAAAGGTTCTGCACCCCTTCAAAGTGTCTGCAGATCAGCGCACGCGGTTCACAGGCACGTGGACAGGGAGGAGCCCGGGCTGGCATGCCTGCCCGTGTGAGCTGGGCTTATCTTGGCCCTGTCCCCAGCTCAGGCCTCTGAGGGACATGGAGGTGGGGGAGCCACGGACACTGTTGTGGGCTCACAGGTGGCGGACCCGGAAGCCCTGTGCCCCTTCCCAGGCCCTCCTCCTCCCCCAGGACATGGCCCGGCCTGGCCTCTACAGGGAGCAAAGGATTCGGAGTCAGCTCGGAATCGCTCCGGTCAGCTGTGAGACACCTCCCTCCCTTCCCAGCCCTTTTTAAAATTTTGAGATAGTGTCTGCTTAAGTTGCTAAGTTGTGCAGGCTGGGCTTGAACCTAGGATCCTCCTGCCTCAGCCTCTCAGAGAGCTGGGATTCCAGGTGAGCACCACCCACTTTGCCTCTACGGGCTGAGCTAACACCATGCAAATTCTGTTTTCTACCCCAACCTGAAGGACAGACCACACAGAAGAATAACAAATAATGCTGCCCCTGTGCTGAGGGCCCAGAAACCTGGGTGCACCTGCATCACCCCTGCTGGCGCTGCTGGCGGGGGCTCCCTGGGAAGGGCAGTGCTCAGACCACATGGCGCTGCAATCCCAGGCACCAGCTCCAGGGAGGCGTGGGAGGCCTCGTGTGCAGCCCCGCCGGCTCCTTCCTGAGCTCTGGCTCTCCCACGGCAGCCTGGAGGCCCACCTGGTAGGTCTCGATGGGCCGTGCCTCCATGTTCAGGTCCCAGACCTTGACCGTGAGGTAGTCCCGCGTGAGCATGTAGCGGCCACTGTGGCTGAACTTCACATCGGACACCGAGGAGATGATCTCGGAGAAGAAGGAGCGGCTGCTGGGATCCTCGGGCTCCTCAAAGACTGCAGAGACAAAGAGCCCCAAGGACGGGTGTGTACCCCGGGTTCAGCTGTCATGTGTACACTTGCTCATTCATTCATCAAACCTACAGAACACCTCTCAGGCACCGGCCCAAACTGACCCTGCACAGGGGAGGGACCAGCACAGGGACCAGTGTGAACAGTGTTCACAGCAGCTACTCCGAGGCAGGTTCTGTGCAGGCTCTTCCTGTGTGCACAGCGTGATCAAAAAACTACAGTGAACATTTTTTAAAACTCAAGTGTATTACAGTAAAATCCACTGTCATGAATCCCCCTCAAAATCCTCCCCCTTGCTTCAGACACTCATCCCGTCTTTCCTGCCACTTTTGGCAGCAGTTCTGGAATCTTCTTTCGTGAGTGTCTAGTTGCACTGTCCTGGCTGCCTCAGGGTCCTGAGTGGATTCAAAACGTTTCCCTGTCATGGTCATTTTGACTTCGTGGAAGAGCCAGAGTCACACGGTGCCAGATCCGGTGACTAAGGTGGATGAGGACACTGCGTCATGTTTTTAGGATGCCTTTCCTTCGGATGGCGCTGGGCAGCAGCATTCCCTGGTTTTATCATGCCTCATAAAGACAGGCAGGAAAGAGGACTCCAGAGCTGCTGCAGAAAGCAGCGAGGGATGGGATCCGTGGTTGAAAGTGAAGGGACTGCTTGAGGGGATTTATGGCAATGCAACTTTCACTGTGATCATTTTTTAAATGTAAACACTCCATATATTTTGATTATCTACTGTATTAGCTTGTCTAACCCTCAGTAAAAATGTCAGTTGATATCCTTATCACCCTCACTTTTCGTCAAGAAAACTACAGTGGTCTGTACATCTCGGTCCGGCCTCAGAGCTACAAGAACGCAGTGCACGGAACCCAGAGCCCTGCTGGCCTCTGCCGCCCCCTCCTGGTGACATGGAGGCCAGCGCTAGGCGAGGTGGCCTTGTCAGGGCCTGGTCACAGGCGTCCTACAGTGGCCCTGGGGCTGCAGCAGGTGGGGACCAGGGTCCTGCAGGGCCAGGCATTAACACCACGGAAGGGGCCAGTGACGGCAGACTTAAACACAGGCAACCCTCGCAACTATCCCCATGGAAACCGAGGGCTCGGCAGCCCTGCCTGGGCCTGTTCTGACTCCAGGCCGGAGATGAGGACAAGGAACCTGACCAGAGCTCAGGGGCTCCTGAGCTTCCCTCCCTGCCAGCGCCTCCTGGTCTCGAGCCCCAGCCCTGAGCCTCTCTGGGTCCTCGCCGCCTCATTCCCTTCCTGTCCAGGGTCCATGCTCTTCCTGCTTTCACCTTTTGTACACATGCAATTCTCAGCCAGCTCCCCTCCACGGGGCAGCTGCAGGCCTCTGCGTTCCCCAGGCACAGCCCCGGCTCCCTCTCATGGGCAGTGACCCCTGGGCAAGGAGCGCTCCAGGCAGCAGGAGCAGCTCGTGCCAAGGCCCGAGGCCGGCCTGGAGGGTCGTGCAGACCTCACAGGTGTGAGAGGGGAGGAGGGGATGTGAGGGCCACCCCACCAGGACCTGAGGGCAGGCCGAGGGCGAGGACACCGGCACTGGGCGGTGCAGAGGCCAAGGACAGGCAGGGTGCCCGGGAGTGAGTCTGCTTCAGGGCAGGAAGGGATGACCCGAGGCCGGGTGGGCGCAGAGTGCAGAGCGGACTCACCACCGCCTCGGCCCAGCGGGGAGGGAGGGAAGCTACTTCCCCACTAGCAAAGGCTCCTGCCTCCACCGGAGGAGCCACCCATGTCCTCATGGCACCAGGGTCCTGGCTGAGCCCAGGGGCGGACGCTGGGGCCCAGGGCCCCGGGAGCCAAGGAGGGCTGGAAGCAGGGGCTGCACAGGCTCGTCCGCCTTGACGCCGCAGGGGGGCCCCTGTCATCTCCTGTCCACCGTAAGTCTGAACCAACTGGGATGAGTCACTGTGCGACTCAGGCCTCCGGTGAGGGCCAGTGCTGTCTCAGGGACAGAGCACAGCCCCTGCTCGGGAGGAACGGGGTGGACGCTGAGAGCAGCAGGACCCTGGGCTGCTGCAGATGGGAGTGAGGCCCAGCCTCTCACTGGGACCTGAGCCCCCACCCCAACCCTGCCTGGGGACCCCTCTGGGCCGGGCTGGCACCCCCACCTCTGGGGCCAGCACCCCAAGCTGGGCCATCCCTGTGCCCACGTTGGGGATGGCCCCGCTCCTCCGCCCTGACCAGAGTCCCAGCATGCCTTGCGGAGTGAGGCTGGAATGGGCCCCGTGGCAGAGGTGCACCCTGCCCTCAGGGCTGGGGGCACTGGGGAGCCTCCCACCAGCCTGGAGGAGGAGACACAGAGGCCAGAGACCGTGAAGCCCTCTAGCCTGCAGCTGAAAACAGACAGCAAGGCTCGCTGGCTGCGGCTCACCCGTCCCAACTGTACTGGGGCATTTTTCTTTTTTTTTTTGGTACCAAGGATCAAACTCAGGACCTTGCACTTGCGAGGCAGTCAGTGGAACCACTGAGCTAAATCCCCGGCCCTCGGGTGTTTCTGATAGATTCATCCTCCCTCCTTCCCTTTTTTTTGGTGGTGGTGGTACTGAGGATGAAAGTCAGGCCTTTGCACTGAGCTACATCCCCACCCCTTTCTGTTTTATTTTGATTATTTTGAGACAGTCTCACTAGGTTACCCAGGCTGAACTCAAATTTGCGATCCTCCTGCCTCAGCCTCCAGAGAGCTGGGATAACAGACATGAGCCAAGGTGCCAGGTGTTCTGATGGTTTTAAGGACAAACAGGCCAGAGGTCCAGAGGGTAAGTGGGAAGGATATTACTTAACCTGAAAAATATTATCTCTAAAAGTTCTTACTTTGCTTTTAAAAACAGGTCTATGAAACTTTTGGAAAAAAAGGGAAATTTTTGATACAGGCTTTTTGAGAAGACAGATGAACCTATCCCCATGGAACCCTTGCCCTGCAATAGCACCCAGCGCTCCTCCCAGCCTCACACAGCTGAGGTGCACTCCTCTTGCCCGACTCCCCCATGGCTCCCCAGTGCCCAGGACCGAGGCTCAGGATCCCACCTGAGGCTGCCCCGCTCCTCCCTGACCGGGTGCCAGCCCTCCTGCCACCCCCAGCGCACCCCTGCAGGGCTGGGTCACAGCTCACGTCTGAGGGCAGGCTGCTGGGAGTGGGTGACCCTCATGCCCTGGCCACACCGCTCTGTGACCTCAGGTGAGCCCTACTTCTCTGGGCCATGAGGACGCTGGGACTGCAAAGCTAAAGCCAGAGACACTGGCCCAGGGTGGACCCGCTAGCTTTCCTGTTTCATTTTTTCCTTTCCTCTCCCTGAAATTCTTTTCCTCATTTTGCAGCCCTGATGGACCAGGCCAAGACACTGCCCACTCAGAGGCCCATGTGGCTTCACAGCTTTCAGAACAGACCAAAGCTCTGGCTGTGGGCTGTGGCCTGGAAGCTCTCAC